ATATTTCATGCCATTCCCTTCTGGCCTGTAGTTTCAGATAAGAAATCAGATGACAGCCGAAACCGGTTTGGCTCAGTGGTAGAGTGTCGGTCTGTGGACTGAGGGGTCCTGGGTTCAATTCCGGTCAGGGGCATGTACATTGGTTGCGGGCACATCCCCAGTAGGGGGTGTGCAAGAGGCAGCTGGTCGATGTTTCTCTCTCATCGATGTTTCTAGCTCTCTATCTCTCTCCCTTCCTCTCTGTAAAAAATCAATAAATTAAAAAAAAAAAAAGAAAGAAAGAAAAATCAGATGACAGATCTTATGGGAACTCCTTTTAGGTAACTTGCTTTTCTCCTGCTGCCTTTAAAATTCTTTATCTTTAGTTTTTGGTATTTTAATTATGTGTCTGGGTATGGGTCCGTATGGGTTCTTCTTGCTTGGGACTTTCTGTGCCTTCTGTACTTGTGTGACTTTTACTTTCACCAGGTTATGATGTTTTTTGCCATTATTTCTTCATACATGTTCTCTATCCCTTGCTCACTTTCTTCTTGTTCTGGCACACCTATAATGCAAATATTAACTTTCCTGTTGTCCCACAACTCCCTTAAGCTGTCCTCTTGCCTTAAAATAAATAAATAAGTAAATAAATAAATAAATAAATAAATAAATAAATAAAAAATTATCCCTAGCCAGTTTGGCTCAGCAGATAAGAGCATTGGTCTGTGGAATGAAGAATACTAGATTAAATTTCAGTCACAGAACATGCCCGGAGTACATCTTGATCCTTAGTATGAGGCATGCAGACAGCAGCTGATCAATGATTCCCTCTCATCATTGGTGTTTCTATTGTTCTCTCCTACCCCCTCCCTCTCTGAAAGCAATTTTTAAAAGATGCTATTTGCCACGGAGAGATGGCTGGGAATGTAGGAACTTTCTTAAAAGGGCCAAAGCAGATAGAAACATCTGCCCATTCAGCCCTTCCTTTCAGTCACTATGTGTTCGTCACTTTCCATCCTTGGTTATCAGGGTTCTCTCTAACTAGTATTCAGTTGATTATTTAGGATGTTTTATTTCTAGTTAAGTATTTTTTAAAATAGGTTCTACATTTTATTTTAATCAATCGAGACATGATAATACCAACTGGGTTACTACATGGGAAAGCCAACAAAATAGCTATAACTTGGCTAATGAAAATGAATCAATGTCATTGATGAATCAATAGCTCTATATAATTTTGCAGATGATCAGCATTTCATCCAACTTAGAATGTTAAGTGGAAATTTTCCAGTATTTTAAAGTAGGCCTGAAAAACAAAACTAAAAAATGGCCAGGCTAGCCAAAACCGGTTTGGCTCAGTGGATAGAACCTTGGCCTGTGGACTGAGGGGTCTCAGGTTCAATTCCAGTCAAGGGCATGTACCTTGGTTGCAGGCACATCCCCAGTGGGGAGTGTGCAGGGGGCAGCTGGTTGATGTTTCTTTCTCATGGATGTTTCTAACTCTTTTTTTTTTTAATAATATATTTTATTGATTTTTTACAGAGAGGAAGGGAGAGAAATAGAAAGCTAGAAACGTCAATGAGAGAGAAACATCGACCAGCTGCCTCTTGTACACCCCCTACTGCGGATGTGCCCGCAACCAAGGTACATGCCCTTTACTGGAATCGAACCCGGGACCTTTCAGTCCGCAGACCGACGCTCTACCACTGAGCCAAACCGGCTTCGGCTGTTTCTAACTCTTTATCCCTCTCCCTTCCTCTCTGTAAAAAATCAATAAAATATATATATTTTTAAAAATGGCCAGGCTAGTTACACACCTATTAGACTGGTTAAAATCCATATCACTGACAATACCAAAAACTGGTGAGGATATGGAGCAATAGGAGCTCTATTCATTGCTAATGGTAATGCAAATTGTGCATGCAGCCACTTTGGAAGAAAATCAGGCAATTTCTTTCAAAATTGAACATACTATTACCATATAATCCAGCAATCACGTTCCTTAGTATTTACCCAAAAGGGATGAAAACTCTTGTCCAAACAAAACTTGCACATGGATATTTATAGAAGCTTTATTAAAAATTGCTAAAACTTGAAAACAACCAAGATGTCCTTTAGTGGATGGACAAATAAACTCTGGTATATACAGACAATGGACGACTCAGTGCTAAGAAAGGGAAAAAAAAAAAAAAAAGAGCCATCAAGCCATGATAAAAAACATAAAGGAACCTTAAATGCATATTACTAAGATAAACCAGTCTAAAAAACTACATAACTGTATGATTCCAACTACATGACATTCTGCTAAAATTATGGAGACAGTAAAAAGATCAGTGGTTACCAGGAGTTGAGGGGAAGAAGAGGAATGAATAGGGAGAGCACAAAGGTTTTTTAGGGGAGTGAAAATACTCTGTATGGTACTATTCAAAGTCATTATACATTTTGTTCAAACCCACAGAATATATACTAAAAGAGAACTCTAAACTATGGACTTTGGGTGACTATGATGCATCAATGTAGGCTTATCAATTGTAACAAACGTACCACTCTGGTGGGGGATGCTCATAATGGAGAAAGCTATGAATGTGTGGGGCCAGGAGTACATGGGAAATATCTGGACTTCCCTCTCAATTTTGCTGGTAACTAAAACTACTCTAAATATCTGCTCTATAACCTAATATTTTTTATTTTTAGTATCCTAATACTACTGCCCTGTCCTGCTATCCCACCAAATAAAGATAATTTGGTGGATAGGGAGGAAAGCTTCCTTTCATGTTGATTTAGTCAAGACTCACTGAGCTATTTCTAGCCTAGCTAGTCTGTTCAAAACACCCACAAATAAAATGAATATTTTTCTCTGCCAATCATTTTTTTCCTCGTGTTTACATCCAGATCAGCCTTGGAAGAGACATTTAACCTTGAATGTACATACTCATTGGATATTGCCTTCCATCAACAAGTTGGTAAGGGCAAGATAAAATCCTGATTATAACAACAAGAAATGACAAGAGCACAAAAGGAAAATTTAATGACATTACCAACTATATCTACTGGAAGTTTTAGCCCACTGTCAATATCTGTCTTTTGGAAAATGAAGCGCTCAAACCTGATACTGTTAGGATTAGTGTAAGGTGCAGGTCCATTTGCCAAGGAGAGGGAAAACAAATAACTATAACTTGATCCCACTTGTTTTGTTTCCAAAAGCAAAACATTTAAAGTAAAACATGAACATTTAATTACCTTTAAATAATATATGAAGTAATTTACATACTATACATTCCCAAACACACTGAACATAAATCCAATGTTGTAAGACATACACAATCTGCCTTTTGCCAATATATTCCCTATATTGAATGTTAACTGATTTTTCAGTCCATGTGAGAACAGATAAATATACATATATATATGTCTCAAGTTGAAGACTGTAAGATAATAAATCAGAGCTGACTATAGAAGACTTCCATAGAAGATTCTAAAACCACCATCAGTATTGAAACTAAACAAGGCATAAAAGCTTTCCCTTTGTGGTCACAAAGATTAAGTTTCCTGTCCTAGTGCTTAAATATCACAAATTATATTTTATATACAGTGTTTCTGTTACTGCTTACAAAGGGATATTTTTATTACATAACTTGATACAGAAAAGCATTGGAAAAATAAATGGGATTTGATAAGTTCTCATACAATAAAGCTTTTGTTCCACTTGAAAAAGATATTTATGCTCAAAACTAATAATATAGGTATAATAAAGAGAAGCATGAAGGGCCCTTTGCAGATTTCTTAGAATCCTTGAATTATAGCTCGTGCCACCATGTTACTTACATTTTCTATTCTGAAGCCAGCTGCCTCCAGCAGTCCTGACCTCAGGCATCCAGGCCCTGTGCTTTTCTTTAAAACAAGGTAAAATAAAACTCTTCCTTATATATTAACAGAAAATATTATTCTATATAGAAATGACTGCTTTAAGATTCATATAACCAAGCAAAATATAATTATCTGTATTTCCCTTTTAATTTTATCCCAAAATGTCTAGGTAAACGGAAAGTAAAATATTCTAGGAAGAGCAGTAACTCATTGAGAGGTAAAACAGTTTAAAAATACATATGTATTATTCCTTGTTCTAAGAATAGTTTTAGAACTTTATATTTTTAAAATTACAAAGTTATCAAAAGAATAAAGCCAACCACAAAATAAGAATCAATACAATGCAGTAATGCACATATGATAGTCAAATGTGCTTAGTACATATTTAAAAAATCAACAACCTATGTTATAATTAAAAAGTCATCACATGTAGTACTAAGCAAACTGTAAGTAGAATAAAAACTGTGGTTTCATTTTGACTATGGAAGTGGAATGAGCTACACATGAACTTAACAGAGTGCCTATACAACTTTCTATATAGGAGTACTGTAGCATGCAAGGCCTGCAGTAATGAGTATAGACTTCACAGATAAAACAAGGCTGGCAAAAAGAAAACCAAACACAAAATTCTGCTCTTGGCTATAAAACCTAAGAGTAAAGAATAAACTGAGATTTTAAGGCTTTCTTAGAAATATTTTTCATGGCACAACATTAAACATCACTATAGGTAAAATATGTAAAAATTCAGTTACATGGTTGTATAATTGAAAGAACATGCCATGTCATTTATTAAGGGATTGCCTTGTCAAGTTCTGTTTTCTGGTAATTAAATTATAGTTAAGTAAGGTTATTCATGTTTGACTCTATCATATAAATCATACAGAAATGTCAATTTGCTAGTATACAATGCAAATTGTGTTTTGAATAAATGTCAATATCACTTGTTTCTTAAAGAAATAAGTCATTTACACTAATGTAACTAAAGCAGTTACACTAATTCCTCTCACAAGAGCAGTTATTTTCCTTCCTTAAACGATTAATCTATTAAACTCTAAGATCATTATTAGACAAATTCCTTCTCGTCATGCACACAGATCAACCTCACAATTATCCATTTCTTGCACTACAGTCAGTCCAGAAAATACTCTAGGAGCCTAACAAGTCATTCTTGCCACACCATACTCTAAGCTGACCACAGCAGGTTCGGATTTGGAAAACTCCTCTGCGTATTCACTGTAACGATTATCCGCTGGGTTGCTGCCCTCTATAGTTCGAAGAGTATCATTCACAGGTAATAGAGTCTGCTCCTTAAAACTTAGGGAGGTTTTGATGATAGGTGATTCAGGATGAACTGGATGTAACAATTCCTTGGTGAGAACTCCATCTATTTGCTCATTTTTGCGTTTATTAATTTTCTAGAACAAAAATAAATTTGAAAAAAAATTACTAATTGCACATAGTATATGTTTAAAACAACTGAATATGAGACATATATATGAGACATTCACCCTGGCATCACAATAATACAAAAATACACACTTATTTAGCTAAAGATTTTATTGCCTAAAACCTACATGTTTTTTCTATGTACAACACGCTTTAGAAACACAAATTTTTTTTAAAAAAAACTGAACAGGAGATTTTAAAAGTAATCTTTAGCAAAGTATTGCACTCTCCAAATTGTTGGACTAGTCTGCAAACCAATCTTTCTGAATTACCTATATCTTGTGCCTGCCTCTTTTTAACACATCCTCCTACAGTTTACTCAAGCAGTCATTACTTGGATGACTAAGGAACACCCCTGTCTGAGAGACAGACAAGACCAATTTATAACAACTGTCTTGGATTTTTAAAATATATACTTAGTAATTACTTTTGATTATATATGATGGCAAAGAAAAGATTATAGAAAAGTCTTAGGGTGGAGAAAAACTTCTTCATTGTTAATTTTTTTTAATTTTTTATTTTTAATATATTTTTATTGTTTTCAGAGAGAAAGAGAGATAGAAATGTCAATGATGACAGAGAATCATTGATCAGCTGCTTCCTGCATGCCCCAAACTGGGGACTGAACCTGCAACCCAGCCATATGCCCTTAACCGGAATTGAACCTGGGACTCTTCAATCCATAGGCCGATGCTCTATCCACTGAGCAAACCAGCTAGGGTGAAATTTCTTAAGGTACAAAAAAAAAAAAGCAAAAACATAAAGATTGATAAACTTGACTACATTAAAATTCAAAGCTTCTATACAAAATACACTGTAAATAAAATGGAAAGGATAAGCCATTTGTAATACAGATAACTAAAAAAGAATCAGTGCCTGAGATATAAAAAACTCTTACAAATCAATAAGAAAAAGGCAGATAGGCAAACAGATACGTCATTCATAGAAAAGGGAAAATCAAATGACCAACAAACATATGAAAAGTCATTCAATTTCAATTGTTATGAAAATCCAAAACTAAAAACAATTTAATTGTTCAGCAGCTGAAAGGATAGACTGCGCTACTCATACAAGAGAATATCATTCAGTAATCACTAACGAAAGAAATGCATTAAAGCTACACATATCAACATGGATAATTTCAAAGCAATATTGAGCAAAATGAAGTATGTCAATCTCTATATATTTTTCAAACATGCAGCTTCTTAGCTGAGTGAAAGGAACATGGGCATTCATGTTGTTTGTTGCCTTTATACTGCATACAAAAACTATTGTCTTTTTTATTGTTTAATATATGATAAAAATAGTATTTAAAATCACCAAAACAGTAATATAAGTGTGGATACAAACATACATAGAAGTATACAAATGTTCACAGGAATAATTAACACCAAGTTAACTAAAAGTACATGAGGGGAGCATGAAAAGGACTTTAAGGGTCTTCAAATATATCATGTTTCATTTCTTAAAACAAAAGCATGAAAGATTTGAAACAAATATGACAAATGTTACAATCTAACAAAGTTAGGTGGTACATACCTTGGTATTTATTACTTTATATCTCTACTTCTCTATATACTTAGGATATTTCAATTTATTTTAAAATTCAGGGAAAGTGATTCAAACTAACCTAATTCAAAGCAAAGTTCTAACTTTGAAGGAACTATGTGTTCTGGTAAGGTTTCTATATATACTAATTTAAGAACACAAGTAATAATAGTAATACTCCAAATATATTATATTAGATAATTCAGAATACTTACAGATTCTAAGTCTTGAATGTCTTTCTCTAACTGTTTATTTTGTTCATTCATATTCATAATTATGTTGCACACCGACTCCCTGGGATGCAATGTTCGATCAAATTGGTGGTACATGTTTCTCCAAAACCTTTATGACCAAAAAAGGAAAAATTTCAATAAATAAATGTATTTAAAAAAAAATTTATAAATATTCAAAGTGCCAACTTACTTAAAATTGAAAGATGCTGTATTTGGCTCTAAAACAGCAAACTGCTGAGAGTTGGAACTGTAGAGTGGATTTAAGTACTTCTTTTGGTCATCCAGAAGAAATGGCCACAGGGAGTAAGTCTTCTCCTTTAACCTTATATAATAAGAGAAACATAAAGGCCTTTCTCACAGATGCCAATACTCAGTTTTATAAAGCAGGCAATTTTTTCACAAGTAGATTTAAATTTTAGTTTTTCCTTCTATTCACAGTCTAATGTCACCTTTTCTCTGAATTCTATATTCTTCTTCTCTGCTTTCCTACTTATAATCATTTAATAAATGATTGTTTATCAAACACAACACAGGTATATTGTTTTCTTTCAAACCACATACATAAAGAGATTCCTCTCTTATTTCACAGAATTTCATAATCTTCGTCTGGTCTATGTTATACCTACTTCAAATCATCACACACATACAGCTGACCCTTGAAGGACACAGGTTTGAACTGCACAGGTCCACTTATACCTGGATTTTTTTTTTTTTTTTTTTTTTTTTTAAATAAAGAGAGTTGGCCCTGCATATCCTTGGATTTCACATCCACAGATTCAACCACTCATGATCAAAAATAGTACTTACACCCTAACCAGTTTGGCTCAATGGATAGAGCGTTGGCCTGCAGACTCAAGGGTCCCAAGTTTGATTCTGGTCAAGGGCATGTACCTTGGTTACGGGCACATCCCCAATAGGGTGTGTGCAGGAGGCAGCTGATTAATGTTTCTCTCTCATCGATGTTTCTAACTCTCCCTCTCCTTCCCTCTCTGTAAAAAATCAATATATTACCACCAAGTTGTTCAAGGGTCTACAGTATACTATACAATAAAAGGCTAATATGCAAATTGTCCTCTCTCGAGTTCAACTGACTGAGAATTCAATTGCTCACTACAACATGCACTGACCACCAGGGGGCACCACAGAATGAAGGAAGGACCTGGCCAGCAGGAAGAAGGAAGGCCCTGATCACCGGTCAGGCCTAAGGACCCTACCTATGCACGAATTTTGTGCACTAGGCCTCTAGTATAGAGTAAGATGCTAATGTATTTCTGTTTAGCCTCATTCTCTTAGCTCCACATTTGGACTGTAATGGCATGTATTACAGGGCAAGTGTGAGTGGATACAAAACAAAAAAATTAGGAAAAATCAGGACAGTATTCAAGAATTTAAAAATACCAATTATACTACAAATCTAAGAGTATGAAAGTGAAGTAGGTGAAAAAACAGTAGATTATCTTAGATAGTATATTTACCAAAGAAATCTAAACCAGTGTTACAGAGGAAACAGTGGAGAATCTGCTCATTTTTCCATAACCTCTAAGATAATAGATATGTTCTTAAAGAAAGACTACTAAAAAAAAATGTAATTTTATTACCATTTTCCTATTTATAATGTTTGCATATTCATATTCATAATTGACAATAGTTTTTCCTAAAATAGCTCTGTGCTCCAAGTCACCTCTCCTAATTATGAAAAAAAAACAAAAAAACTGTGAGATACTATAGCACAGAGTTAAAGTCCTAATCGTCTCTGATTTGTTTATCTCCATCATCCTCTATTTCACTTATTTCCTTTACACATCTTTAGAATGTTCCACTTGCTCTCAATTCTGCCTTCAATTCTGTTGGGAGTGATATTATGTGGCTGTCTTCAAACTACCACCATATTTAGTCTATCTAATATGTCACTCAGATCTTAAAAAATCTATAACTGCTCTTGATTGACTACTGTAAAAAATCTAATCTTAGAAATCCAACCTAACACACACACACACACACACACACAGACACACACACTTCTAGCCAGAAGCCTCTAATCCCAAAGACCAGTTAGGGAAGAACAGGTGCAAGACCCAATCAGGGATAGACATACTGGAAGCCAACATAGGTCAACTTATTTCCCCAAAGAACAGCCTATTTAGAAATGTGAGGAGAGCAATAAGGCTTCATGTTACCTTAAATTATCCAACATTTTTACAATCTTTTACCACACTTTAAAACACAGTGACCAATACTTTATGGGAAATGAAATGTAAAGATTTTAAAATATGTATTTAAAATTATATATATACATATACATACATATATACTAGAAGCCCAGCGTGTGAAATCGCGCGGCCCTGCCCACCCGCCCACCACCCCACCGCACTCACAGCCCCACCCACCCTCGTGCACTGGTTGTTAAAGCGTTAGGGCCACAGGCCTTTTATAATATAGACTATAGGCCCGATGCGTGAATTCATGTATCAGTGGGGTCCAGCCGGCCCTGCCCCCTGGTTGAACTCCTGGTTGAACTCCTGGTCGAGAGGAAAATTTGCATATTGGCCTTTTATTATATAGGATTCAGACAGGAAAGGAGCAAAAGGTGTGTTTTGAGGGTGTTGGAAATATTTTTTTCTTTTTTTTTTTTTATAAATATATTTTATTGATTTTTTACAGAGAGGAAGGGAGAGAGATAGAGAGCTAGAAACGTCGATGAGAGAGAAACATCGACCAGCTGCCTCTTGCACACCCCCTACTGGGGATGTGCCCGCAACCAACGTACATGCCCCTGACCAGAATCAAACCTGGGATCTTTCAGTCCGCAGACTGACGCTCTACCACTGAGCCAAACTGGTTTCGGCTGGAAATATTTCTTATTCTGAGTGCTGGTTACACAGGTGGCTAAGTTTAACATTTATTTAGCTTCACACCTATAATACATGTGCTTTTCTGTATATATGCTACACTTTAAAACACACTTAAAAATGCATTCTACTATTAACTAGAGGATATGAAAGATATTGAGAGTATACCTGGCTTCAGAACTAAAGACAATAAAATCTTAACAAAAAATTCAGTTCTATTTCATAATGTATTTTATTCATTTCAACTAAAATTGATGGTAGTCCTCAGCTAAGAAGGAAAGAAGCCCATTTAATCAAACCATCTTACTTGAGTTCTTCTCTTTCCTTCTGACAATTTCCAAGGAAGTTTCCAAATTGGCATGAATGAATATGTTCATGAATCTGAAGAAGAAACGCTTCATTGAATTCAAAGTCTTGTGGAAACTGTTCAGTCAAATGCCACACACATTCCAAGAACTGAGTAAACACCGGCGAAACTTCCTTTGGGTCTCCATCCAAATGGCCACACCTAACCCCCCCAGAAAAAAAAAAGGTTTTAAAAATGCCTCTGAAAGAAATCAATTGTTCAGGTGTTGTTAAATTTAAACAAACATAAAAAAAAACACCAAAAACCTTAAAATACTGTGCCATTGCAGAAAAATTTGTAATGTTTTTATTGAAACAATTTATACCTAAGTTTTTCAACCACAATTTTAAAGCATCTATTACCTTCTACTTACTACAATCAAGATAAACAGGAAGGTTAATAACTTGCCTGAAAATTAACAGAGATATGAGAATTGAAATAACAACAAAAATTAATCTTCATACAAAAAAAAATCACACTCTCACCTCCTACTGGACATACAAGTTCATGAAAAACAGAAACATTTTGGCATTCTAAACTATTTTTTCTAATTTTTAAAAATATGTACATATATAACAGTGACTCACCTCTCTGAAAATTTATGTCCAAAGGAGATCCAATCTTTTTCTATTAAAACCTTAATGAAAAACAAAAACCTTAATGAAAAAAAGTAAAATCTACACTGTAACTACTTTCAAATATTTTTGTTTAGAATGGATTAAATCCTATTATCTTAAAAACTGCATTTACAAATTGCAAACAAATGTTTTAAGATTATGGGGAAAAGACTGCAAGAGCCGGGACCGGTTTGGCTCAGTGGATAGAGGGTCGACTTGGGGACTGAAGGGTCCCAGGTTCGATTCCGGTCGAGGGCATGTACCTTGGTTGTGGGCATATCCCCAGTAGGGGGTGTGCAAGAGGCAGGTGATTGATGACTCTCTCATCGACGTTTCTAACTATCTCTCTCCCTTCCTCTCTGTACAAAATCAATAAAATATATATATATATAAAAAAAAAAAGATAGCAAGAACCTAGATTAGAGGTTGATTTAACAGAGTGAAGATGATCCATAAAAAGAAACACAGGAGTCTTATAACAAATTATTTTTACTGTATTTATTAATTTCAAGTGAAAAATGTGTTATAAAGCACTGCTGCATTTACATTTTTGTGTGCATAATGATTTTTGCCAAGAGAAAGGGCTAAGAAATGTAAATAAAAATGTTAACAGCGGTTAACTGTGGATAGTAGACTCCAGTTACGTTTTTACTTGTACATTACTTGTACAAGTAACCGCTGGTCTACCTGCCTGCCTGACTGCCCCTAACCACTCTACCTTTTCATTTACTTGTACATTACTTATATAATAGTTAAAAAATGATAAAGAGCCCTGGCTGGTGTAGCTTAGTTGGTTGAGCATTGCCCCATGCACCAGAAGGTTGTTGGTCCTATTCCCTATTCGCACATGCCCAAATTGCGGATTCAGTCCTCAGTGGGTGGCAACCGGTCAATGTTTCTCTTTCCTTCTTTCTCTAAAATAAATGAAAAAATCCATATATTTTAAAAAATGATAAAGAGAGCACTGAAAAATTTGTATTCAAGTTCAAATGTTAATATCTAACCTCTTGAATGGATTATATCTGTTTTCTGTTTGAAATAACAGGACTATCTAACTAACCTAAACAACTTACCTTTTTAGTATTTAATATACCTCATAATTTAATTTATAATCACCAAGTATATATTTTTTTAATTAAATTATCTGTGTACATATTTTAACATTGTCCCCCCTTCCCATACATACCCTCCCTCCCCAGAGTTTTGTGTCCATTGATTGTACTTATATGCATGTATACAAGTCCTTCGGTTGATCTATTATCTCCCCCAGATCTCCCTACCCTACCTGCTGTAATTTGACAGTCTACTTGTTGCTTTACTGTCTCTATATCTATATTTTGGTTCATCAGTTTATAATGTTCTTTATTATCCATAAATGAGTGGGGTCATGTGGTGTTTCTCTTTCATTGATTGGCTTATTTCACTCAGTATGATGTTCTCCAATTCCATCCAGGTTGCTGCAAATGATGAGAATTCCTTCTTTTTTATGGCAGCATAGTATTCCACTGTGTAGATGTACCAAAGTTTTTGGATCCAATCATCTGCTGATGGGCACCTAGGCTGTTTCCAAATTCTAGCTATTGTAGATTGTGCTGTTATGAACATAGGGGTGCATATACCCTTTCTGATTGGTGTTTCTAGTTTCTTGGGATATATTCCTAGCAGTGGGATTACTGGGTCAAATGGGAGTTCCATTTTCAGTTTTTTGAGGAAACTCCACACTGTTCTCCACAGTGGTTGCACCAGTCTGCACTCCCATCAGCAGTGCACGAGGGTTCCTTTTTCTCCACAACCTCGCCAACACTTGTCGTTTATTGATTTGTTGATGTTGGTCATTCTGACAGGTGTAAGATGGTATCGCATTGTTGTTTTGATTTGCATCTCTCAGATAATTAGTGACTTTGAGCATGTTTTCATGTGCCTTTTGGCCTTCCTTCTGTCTTCTTTTGAAAATATTCTATTTAGGTCCATTGCCCATTTTTTAATTGGATCATTCATCTTCCTTTTATTTAGTTGTATAAGCTGTTTGTAGATGTTGGAGATTAAACCTTTATCAGTAGTAACATTTGCAAATATGTTCTCCCACACAGTGGGCTTTCTTGTTGTTTTGTTGATGGTTTCTTTTGCTGTAAAAAAGCTTTTTATTTTGATGTAGTCCCATTTGTTTATTTTCTCTTTAGCTTCCATTGCCCTAGGGGCAGTATCAGTGAAGTTCTTTTGGCATACGTCTGAGATTTTGCTGCCCGTGAATGCTTCTAGTATTTTTATGGTTTCCCGTCTGATGTTTAAGTCCTGTATCCATTTTGAGTTTATTTTTGTGAATGGTGTAAGTTGGTGATCCAGTTTCATTCTTTTGCATGTATCTGTCCAATTTTCCCAACACCATTTATTGAAGAGACTGTCTTGACTCCATTGTATATTCGTGCCTCCTTTGTCAAATATTAATTGAGCATAGTGATTTGGGTTGATATACCAAGTATATTCTTTTCAGTGTCTAAATTGCCACTTTTAACTTCTCTAATTTAATGTTAAATCTCCTAGAAGGCTATATAATGGGATAAGTGAAAATGCAGTTTCTGGAGTCAGAATGCATGCACTCAAGTCCTAACATCACCACTTTCTTACATGTGTGACCTCAGGTACATGACTTTCAGGCTGTAACCTCAGGTTTTACTATGAGCCTCCTGCCATTTTTCTACACACCAACATCTTAACACTTAAAATCTTTCTCACTAAACTTATTCCTCTGCTTATCTCCTGGAAGGGTAGGAGAACAGCACCATCCATCCTAACAAATGAGTTCCTAGCCTGGAAATCATCCTAGAAGAGGACTCCTCTCATGTATCCCACATCTATCCATGAACAGCTTGAGTTATCACAATAGTTCCTACACTGGTCTCCTAGCCTCCATTCCCACTCCCCTCTTCCTTCAAGGCACCAAACCATTTTTTTATAGCCCTCTACTGGTTCTCACTACCTACATTCTAGTTTTATCTTCCTCAGGCATCCATCCCCCTATATTTTTCTGCACCAAAGTCCCTAGTCCCCAAAACTCATACATGTTTAATTCCATGCAGTCCCAGAGCTAATCTTTAACTCTCACTGCTCCTTTTGCCTGGGACACTCTCTCATTGTCCCTGGATCATGTATAATAATAAAAACGTAATATTCTAATTAGACCCGACAGCCGGACGACCTTCCAGACTTCATTCTGGAGGTCCTACTGGAATGAAGCCACAGTGGCGAAGGCAAGGTAGAGGCTGTTAGGGGTGATCAGGCAGAGTGGCTAGGGGCCATCAGGTAGGCAGGCGAGTGGTTAGGGATGATCAGGCAGACAGGTGAGCAGTTAGGGGCAATCATGCAGGCAGGCAGAGGCAGTTAGAGGTGACCAGGCAAGCAGGCAAGTGGTGAGGGGCTATCAGGCAGGCAGAGGTGTTTAGGGGAGATTAGGCAGGCAGGCAGAAGAGGTTAGGGGTGATCAGGTAGGAAGGCAAGTGGTTAGGGGTGATCAGGTAGGCGAGCAGTTAGGGACCATGAGACAGGCAGGCAGGTGAGTGTTTAGGGGCAATTAGGCAGGCAGGTAGACCAGCAATTAGGAGCCAGCAGTCCTGGATTGCAAAAGTTGGCAGGGCAGGGTGAGGGAGCCCCACCACCCCAGCCCCATGCACGAATTTCATGCACTGGGCCTCTAGTATATTACATGATTTAATTTGGATGTCTAAGAAACACATTAAAAACAAACATGGCAAAGAAAATATTCCTTATCTTACACTCTCAAAGTAAGCAGAGCATTATTTTATTAACAGCACTTCCATTTACCCTATCCCAAATTCAATATGTTAGCACTGCCACATAATGTTACAGGGACCTAGTGATGATAAATCTTCCCTTGCTTTAAGATGGCAATATTTAATAATTCTAAACTAATGAAAACTTTCTCACATCTCTTTATTTACTTGCTATGAGTTAAGATATAAATTTTGAAAAGATGAGTTAAATTAAAAACAAGCCCTGCCAAAACAGGTTTGGCTCAGTGGATAGAGCATCAGCCTGCAGACTGAAAGGTCCCAGGTTCGATTACGGTCAAGGGTGTGTACATTGGTTGCGGTCACATCCCCAGTAGGGGGTGTGCAAGAGGCAGCTGATCGATGTTTCTCTCTCATCAATGTTTCTAAAAGTCTGTCCCTCTCCCTTCCTCTCTGTAAAAAATCAATATATATATATAAAAGCCCAGTCAGTGTTCCTCAGTGGATTCATTATGTCCCATGCATCTAGAGGTTACTAGCTTCATTTCTGGTCGGGAAAATGCCTGGTTTGTGCATTTTGTCCCCCAGTAGGGGAGTGTGCAGGAGACAGCTGATTAATGTGATATTTCTCTCTTATCGATGTTTCTATCTCTTCCTTCCTCTCCTCTAAAAATCAATAAAAAACATATTTAAAAAAACAAACAAAACAGAAGGCAGGGCTTTAGCTTCACAAAGCAAAAAATATGTTCAATTAGAAATTTAATCTTCAGATATAAAACATGCTTCAGAACATGTAACTATGGTTAACAAATGAAGCAGTATGAACAAAGTATTTTCTAGAATATAATTTTTAAGTATCCCTATTTCCTTGTTTTATTACATTACTCAAATTTATTAGATAAATATAAGGGGGAAATACTGAATATTTCTATTGTAACATTTTAGAAAAAAAAATTTAAATCTGAAACTTTTTGTCAAAAGGTGGCACAAATGAAAATCACTCTAACTCCAGATTTCTCAACATCAGCACATTATGCCAGGTAACTTTGTCTTAGGGCTGTCCTGTACAATATTATATTTAGTAGCATCCTGGGGTCTACCAGCTAACCTTTTCTGTTGTAACAATCAAAACTGTCTCCTAACATTACCCAATGTCTCCTATTGGAGGACCACTCGTCTAGCCAAATACAGTAAAACATCAATTTAACAGGCTAATTCAAGTGAGGGAGTGTCTATTAAAACAGAAAGTCTGTTATATAACAAAAAAAGTTTTCTAAATATATGTTAAAAAATTGACAAATTAGTTTACCTGTTTTTACTTATATAGACACATTTGTATAATTAAAATTAAGAAAATACAACAAGTTAAATTTCATAGAAAAGTCTCCTATGTGTATTACTATAATTTTAAGTTTATACTGAGCAGATTTAGTAAATGTATTCACCAGTCACTGAGAGTAAACAAATGCACACGGCTGGGGTGTGGTTTAGCACACATGGGAACTTCAGCTAGCACACGTTAAAACTGCTGCAGAAAGTCATGTCACACAACAACAGAACCAAGTAACATGGGCAATGCTGTGAGATCACATGCTAATCATTTCCTGAACATTATTTATAAGCAGTGACTCTTGGGATTTAAATATGTAGACTATAGCTGTTGATATGTAATATTTACTAATGTTGACAAAATTACTACAGTGTTTTTTCCAACATATGGCTTACTAAAATTTGTTAAATTTTAGTAATTAATAACAGTGAATTAATAACAAAAAATTTTAGTAATAACAGTGAGTTAATAACAAAAAATAACCTGTTAATTTGATCATAAGTAAATCTTGATTAAAAGCATTTTTAAATTAGCAGGGTGTTAATTTTCACATATGACATTCAGACTGGAAATTTTGTCTGTTAAATCAGAAGTCCATTAAGTTGAGGTCAGCAAAATCCAGGGTTTACTATAACTCCTTACCATGAATCCTTTGACTGTTCTGTAGTAGGAATCCAATAAAAGAGAGCCAAGAGAACAAACCTGGGAAGTTCTATCCCAGCCATCAGAACAATGAACCAACACACTTGCATTTTCCACCATTATTGCCTGAAAAGAAAGATCACATACGTAGATTCTAACAGAATACATTTAAGTGAATCATTAAGTTCTACTTACTAAAAAAACCATTAAGTATCTATACTAATAAAAAGGTAATATGCAAATTGGTCAGGATGCCCTCACAGTAACAACTAAACAGCAGGCTGCGTGGGGCGACCAGGCCAACAGAGGGGGGCAGTAAGGAGTGACCAGGTCAGCAGGGGGGCAGTTATTGGTGATAAGACAGGCAGCAGAGGAGGACAGTGAGGGGCTACAAGGACAGCAGGGGAGGAAGTTGGGAATGACCAGGCCAGTGGGGGGGTTGTAGTTGGGGGTAACTGGCTGGCGGGGGGAGCGGGGGGAGAGGAGGGCAGTTGGGGGCAACCAGGCTGGCGGGGCAGTTGAGGGCAACCAGGCAGCCACTTAGAGGTGATCAGGCAGACAGGTGAGCAGCTAGGAGCCTACAATCCCGGATTGTGAGAGGGATGTCTGACTGCTGATTCTAAACTGGCAGTTGAACATCCCCCAAGAGGTCTCAGATTGGAGAGGGTGCAGGCTGGGCTGAGGGGATCTCCCCCATGCACAAATTTTGTGCACCGGGCCTCTAGTCCTATATAATAAAAGCCTAATATGCTAAGTGTCTGATCATTCATTTGACTATTTCACTAGTTGTTATGTTGCGCACTGACCACCAGGAAGCAGATGCTCCGACTGGTAGGTTAGCTTGCTGCTGGGGTCTGGCCAATCAGTACTGGGTGAGATGGGCCAGACACACCCTGGAGCCCTCCCTCAGTCCCTCCCCAGCCTCCAAAATATTTCCTCCAATTAATTTCCTTTCAATGTGCACAAATCCATGCACCAGGCCTCTAGTTGCATTATAAAGAAGAGCTAGTACTGTAATGATAATGCTATCTCAATACAATTTCTCAGAAACAAGATAAAACACAAAGCATATAAACAAAAATAAAAAGACAAACATGCTCTTTAAAGTGTTTGAAATGTTTTTAAGTCCATACATTAAGTACTCGATGGTATTTTTAAAGCTCAAATTAAATGAACCTCATTAAAGAGGTAAAGCAAAATAAAAATTATATGACTGGAAAAGGTACCAGCACTCAATAAATTCATTCCTTCCCAACCATTATAAACCCCAAAATCAAATATAAGAGACAAAGAGTTACTTTGGCTAAGAAGATTGCAGCATCCATGACAGCTTTGATATGGCGAAGCCATCCTGAGCTCTCCAAACCAGAGTAGAAATCATTGACAGAAAGCCCTTTGGTACCATTAACTAAAAAGAGAGAGGAAAAACATTTCAATTAGAATGGGCTAGCCTCCTTTCTCCTATTCAAGATTATCTCTAGATGAATAAACTGGGGAAGAAGAGAACAAAATAAATAGACAAGACTCTTTATAAATGAAAAGATGCTATTAGAAATTCAATGACAGATTCTTTTGTTACATTTTGCTATCATTCCTTGTGGTTAAAAAAAGCACTCCTATTTCCTTTTTAAAAAAAATTTGCAGTGTTTAATTAAAAAGTCTGATATTTTAATTTTTTAAATTCCATACCATGACTAGAAAAATATCTTAATATTTAAATGGAACATTATCATAAATTAGTCTAAATTGCATTGACACATCAAGAATATCTAACAATAGCCCTAACCAGTTAGTTCAGCTTCGGCCTATGGACTGAAGGGTTCCAGGTTCGATTCCGGTCAAACGCATGTACCTCTCTTGTACGGACATCCCCAGTTGGGATTGTGCAGGAGGCAGCTAATCATTGTTTCTCTCTCTTTGATGTTTCTAACTGTCTATCCCTCTCCCTTCCTCTCTGTTAAAAAAATCAATAAGATATATATATTTTTAAGAAGAGTATCTAACAATAGTAATCTATACTAATAAAAGGGTAATATGCTAATTAGACCAGATGTCTTCTAGACAAAGACACAATGGCGGGAGGCCAAGGCAGAGGACATTAGGAGTTAACAGGCCAGCAGGGGAAGGCAATTAGGGGCGATCAGGTAGGCAGGAGAGGGCAGTTAGGGGCAATCAGGCCAGCAGGAAAGGGCAGTTAGGGGCAATCAGGCCAATAGGGGAGGGCAGTTAGGGGTTGATCAGGCCGGCAGGAAAGCAGTTAGGGGGCAATCAGACTGGCAGGGGAGCAGTTAGGGAGCGATCAGGCCAGCAGTTAGAGGCAATCTGGCATGCAGGCAGGCTAGTGGTTAGGAGCCAGTGGTTCTGGATTGCGATGGGGATGTCCGACTGCTGGTTTAGGCCTGATCCCAAACCGGCAGTCAGACATCCCCCAAGGGTTCCCAGATTGGAGAGGGTGAAGGCTGGGCTGAGGGACACTCTGTGCACAAATTTCGTGCATCAGGCCTCTAGTTTTTATAAAAACTATTAGCATTGTACTATCTAATACAGTAGCTACTACCCAAATATGGCTATTGAATACCTGAAATGTAGATAGTCCAAATTGAGATGTACTGAAAGTATAAATTGTCTTAGACTTAAAGGCGAAAATGTAAAGTAAATCATCACAAATTTTTTATACTGATTACATGTTCAACATGTTTTTAATATATTAGGTTAGGTATATTATTAAAATTAATTTCAACTGTTTCTTATTACTTTTTTAAATGTGACTACTAGAAAATTTCAAAGTACATAATTTAATATTTCTAATGTTTGACTAGCATATTTCTATGGAATAAGGCTGACTAGAAGATAAGCAATAATCATACCTTCCAATAACTTCTGAAGGCTGGACCGCATGACATGAATATTTTCAATTCCAACAAATTGAAATCTAATATTAGAATAATTGTCTTCATTTTCATAACCTTTTCCAGCTGCTCTGTTGGCTATTGCATTCAGCTAAAAATTTAAATTTTAGAAATTTAGAGACAAATTGCTTTTATCCTATAACTTATCAAAATATCATGAAAACAATAAACTATATTTTAACTAGCAGACAATTAAAAGGAATTCACCACAATTAAATATACTACCATTTTTTAATAAGCAAAAGTCTCGCCCTGGTCTGTGTGGCTCAGTTGGTTAAGCATCATCCTGTGCACCAAAAGGTTGCCGGTTCAATTCCCAGTCAAGGCACATGCCCATAATGAAGGTCCGATCCTGGGGCAGGCAATCAATCAATGTCTCTCTCACATTGATCTCTCTCTCCCCCTTCCTCTCTCCAATAAAAACATAAAAAATAAGTTAATAATAGCAATGAAGGATACTATAAAGAAACAATGTGATTGCTATATAATTGAAAGGTCAAACAAGAAGTTCCCCACAAATAATTCATGAAACTAATTCACTTAGGTCAGTGGTCGGCAAACTCATTAGTCAACAGAGCCAAATATCAACAGTACAACGATTAAAATTTCTTTTTTAAAAAAAATATATTTTATTGATTTTTTTACAGAGAGAAAAGGAGAGGGATAGAGAGCTAGAAACATCAATGAGAGAGAAACATCGACCAGCTGCCTCCTGCACTCCCCCCACCGGGGATGTGCCTGCAACCAATGTCCATGCCCTTGATCGGAATCGAACCTGGGACCTTTCAGTCCTCAGACCGACACTCTATCCACTGAGCCAAACTGGTTTCAGCGAAATTTCTTTTGAGAGTTAAATTTTTTAAACTTAAACTTCTTCTAACGCTACTTCTTCAAAATAGACTTGCCCAGGCCATGGTATTTTGTGGGAGAACCACACTCAGGGGGCCAAAGAGCCGCATGTGGCTCGTGAGCCACAGTTTGCCAATCATGGTCTTTAGGTGTTCATAAATATTTCAAAATCTAAAACTAGAAAGATCTCCTATCTGAATCCTAAATGATTCAGAGAGAAGCAGAGCTGGGTAGTTTTTATTTTTCAGAATGAAACTATAAGATTCAATTCAGAATAAGCCTAGAGCACTTTATCATTCACAAAGCCACAGGGATCCTAAAATTCAGATCTGAAATATACATGAGATTTAAGGTCCTCCATATATTAGAGACTGCTAGAGGCCCACACATTATATACAATGCATATAATCCATTAACTTGATACAGTTATAAGAAATGGTTCCAAAGAAATTGGAAAAGGCACTTTATGGAAAAACAGACTGCCAGTAGCCCCTTTAGGGTTTAGATCAATGCTATTAAGATTTGCTATGTTGCCGAAACTGGTTTTGCTCAGTGGTTAGAGTGTCGGCCTACGGACTGAAAGGTCCCAGGTTCGATTCCAGTCAAGGGCATGTACCTTGGTTGCGGGCACATCCCCAGTGGGGGATGTGCAAGAGGCAGCTGATTGATGACTCTCTCATCGATGTTTCTAACTCTTTATCCCTCTCTCTTCCTCTCTGTAAAAAATCAATAAAATATATTAAAAAAAAAAAGATTTGCCATGTTTAATTCTTTGAGACTAGGATTTCATATAGCATATTATTACAATTTACTAAATATTCTTATGTACTTAGATGAAACAGAACCTAAATTTTAGGAAAAAATAGTAGCTTATCATTCATTGGATTGAGGTTGGCAACAAGTACAGTTCAATTATATTTAATGACTCACTGGTTACTCAGCACCTATGATTACTAGGGTTCATGATTAGATATTTAAAATGTTCTACATTATTACTATCGATACTTGAATTTAACTGGTAAAACAAAAAAAAATCAAAGAAAGATATATTTTTTCTGTAGAAGTCAGTTATACAATTAAGACATATTAGGTCCTAAGAAACAAATTGCCCTCAGATCTTATATTTAAAAAGTCTTCTATTACAATCATCTTTTATATCTAATAGCACCATAAAAATAGTTCTAACCAATTAATCCTTCCAGATTATACAAGGAAGTAAAATTTTTCTTATAAGAGATAATACCAACACTCTTGACTTCTAAGAAAAGTCTTTTCCTTTTAACAAAATAAAATATTACCAAAGTATCAGCTACTAATTTTTAATACTCCTTAATTTACTCAAATTAATCTTATCATATGTTTTCTCCATTATCTTTTGTAAGACTGCATAATGATGAGAATTACTTCTAAAACAACTATCATTCCTTTCAAAAAGACTGTCTATAATTGTGGTCTATATGGCTCACTCGCTTTTTCTCATCGCTTTCTCTTATTTTTTCATCATTCCAGATTTTTGAAGAAATCCTCACTATAATTCTGCCAATGTCCTTTTGTGTAGCCCACCAGCTCTGCTTGCGATGCTATAATAAAAATTAAGAGTAACGTTAGCTATGACCATTGCAGATTTTAATTATTGTAGTTTTAGGATCCTATATGAATTGGCTATTTAATTGTGTTTATAAAAAAGAAAAAATAAATTGTGACATTTGATAAAAATTTAACCTTACACAATGGATGGCTAACAGAACAATTATTTCTTGTTCATTGTTTATGATTCTTTAGCTCAATGTTTCCTAAATTAACTCACTATATATTTCACGTATTTTCTTGCATATTTCAAATTTAGGTCCATTAATACACAATGTATTGAAATTGAAATTCTAATAGAATTGCCAACTTTTCACAATACACAAACTATTTAGTATTTCTTCACAGTAACATAATACTTTTATACCATCAATACACATATATATTTAGGAAAGCAGAAATAAAAAATCACCATCTGGGCTACTGGAAAATTAGTCTCCTAAGTTAGTATCCTTTAAAAAATTAATTTCCTTAGTATGATTACCCTGGGTTAATTTAAAACAAGGATTCAGTATGTTAAATGAGGACAAATTAATCAACTCTTATTAATTAAAGTAACAAAGATAATTGAACTAACAAACTATACTGTATTCAAGGCACATACTTTAGGCCTGGTATCCACGACATACATATAGCGATTGGCTGGATTGGCTTTACTAATGGCTTGAAGCAAATGTTCATCTTCCAGACACCTGGCACTGAATCCCGACAGTGGTTGACTACATCGACAAATGGCAGCCTAATTTAAAAAAGACAGAAAACAGATTATGCAAAGATATCTAAAACATCCTACCTTATAAAATAATAGTATGCAAATTAACCATCACTCTGCTCAAGCCACACCCACCAGTCAATCAGAATGAGTATATAAATTAACCCCGGCCAAGATGGCTGCAGCCACAGAGAGCAGTTGAGAGAGGCTTGGGTTTCCCTGGCAACAGAAGCCAAGCTTTCCACACACCCTGTCCGGCCTAGGCTTCCACTCAAGGCTACAAAGTTTCAATTATAGAAGATACATAAAACCAAACAGAAATGGCTAGGCCACAGAGTGAGCAGGGGGCTAGGTTCGCTCCAGGCTACAAAGTTTCAATTATAGAAGGTAAATAAATTCCAGATACCAGGGCCTCTGCTTGGGTTGCCAGGGGGCGTGGCTGGCCTGCAAACTACCACAGGCCCCTGCCCAGGCTGCCCCACACCCCAAGGGAACCTCCACCCTGATTTGGGACACCCTTCAGGGCAAACCAGCTGGCTCCCACCCATGCACCAGGCCTCTATCCTAAATAATAAAAGAGTAATATGCAGATTGACTATCACTCCAACACACAATATGGTTGCCCCCATGTGGTCAAAGAACCTGCCCAATGTAGACACAAGATGGCCACCACAAGATGGCCAGCATGGGAGGGCAGTTGGGAGCACCAGGCCTGCAAGGAAGGGCAGTTGAGAAGGACCAGGTATTCAAGGGAGGGCAGTTGGAGGTGATTAACCCTGCAGGGAAGGGCAGTTAGGGGTGACCAGGCCGGCAGAGGAGGGAAGTTGGGGACAAACAGGCTGGCAGGGGAGCAGTTAGACATCTGTCAGGCTGGCATGGGAATGGTTAGAGGGTGATAAGGCTGGCAGGCAGAAGCAGTTAGGGGCAATCAGGAAGGCAAGGCAGGCAAACAGTCCTGGATTGTGAGAGGGATGTCCAACCACACTGGGATCAGGTCTAAACGGGCAGTTTAACATCCCTTGAGGTGTCCCAGATTGGAGATGGTGCAGGCTAGGCTGAAGGACACTCCCCTACCCCGTTCACGAATTTCGTGCACCAGGCCTCTAGTGTCTTATAAAATGCTTAAAAGAAAAAAAAAGTTAAAATCAAATGTATTATCTGTTTAAAAGTTGGCAGAACAATTACAAGGCATTAACACTGAAATCTTATTTGAACTAAATATTATTTCAATGTCTTGGTGTTACTTAATTTTTCCCAATATTCTAAGAAATCTAAATGCCTCCTTACCTAGTTGGGAGGAAAAATACCTTGGGTCCTTAGAAGCAACACCTGGTCGAATCTCTATCACCTATCTGAAGATAACTTGCTTTCTATGTGCTAGATCCATGGTCGGCAAACTGCGGCTCATGAGCCATATTCGGCTCTTTGACCCCTTGAGTGTGACTCTTTCACAAAATACCACAGCCTGGGAGAGTCTATTTTGAAGAAGTGGTGTTAGAAAAAGTTTAAGTTTAAAAAAATTTGGCTCTCAAAAAATATTTCTATCATTGTACTGTTGATATTTGGCTCTGTTGACTAATGAGTTTGCCGACCACTGTCCTAGATTATAAGATACTTTCAACTCAATTTCAAGTAAGAGATCAGTCAATAAATTCAGAATAGGATTTTTTAAAATAGCAAGCAACATTCCAACTTTTACTTTCTAAAAGTCTGTGGGTCTTTAATTAGAAATCAGCAATCTAAACTAATAAAAGAAAATATGCAAATTGATCATACCTCTGCTAAGCCCATTAGCCAATCAGGAGTGAGTATGCAAATTAACCTAAAAAAGATGGCAGCAGTCTCAGCCCCCAGCTGCTCCAGGCCTGTGGGAGTTGAAGAAATTGGGCCCCAGTGCCTGAGGCTGGCTGCGGCCAAGGAGATTAAGAAACCACCTGCCCCATGATCCCAGGCCACAACCAGCAACAGAAGTCTCATGGCCACCCGTCCCACATCCTGGAGGAGACAGAGAAACTGAGCCCCACAACTGAGACTGGCTGCAGCCCAGGAAACGAAGAAGCCAACTGCCTTGTGATCCCAGGCCGCAGCCAGAGCAGAAGCCTCATGTCTTCCCACCCCACGTCCTGGGGGAGACCCCACTTTCTAGGGGAGATGGAAAAACTGGGTGCCAGCACCTAAGGCTGGCTGCAGCCTGGGAGATGAAGAAGCCGCCTGCCCTGTGTTCCCAGGCCACAGCCAGCCGGAGAAGTGCCTGCTGTCCAGGCGCCAGCACCTGCGGCTGGCTGTGGCTGGGAGACGGAGAAGCCGCCCACCCTGCAGTCCCAAAACCAGTACCTGCGGCTGGCTGTGGCTCAGGAGACAAAGAAGCTGCCCACCCCGTGGTCCCAGGCACCAGCACTTGCGGCTGCAGCCCAGGCGAAGCCACCTGCCCACCATCCCCTGAGGCTGTAGCCAACCTGAGGACCTATGGCTGACCAAAGGGAGGGAAGGCCAGATCCCAGGTGCCTGTGGTCAGCTAGAAGAGGGAATCCTGGGTCCTGGTGTGGGCTGAGGCAGAGGTAGTTAGGGGTAATCAAGCCAGCAGGAGAGCAAATAGGGACGATCAGGCTGGTAGGCAGAAGCAGTTAGGGACAATCAGGTAGACAGGTGAGTGGTTAGGAGCCAGCAGTTCTGGATTGTGAGAGAGATGTCTGACTGCCAGTTACACCCCGAGGGGTCCCAGATTGGAGAGGGTGCAGGCTGGGCTGAGGGACACCCTTTCCTGCCCTCTCACCCCCCATGCATGAATTTCATGCACCAGGCCTCTAGTCTCCATATAAAATGAGACATAAAATGAGTTTTAAATCAAATTTGGGTAAAAATACTCTCAATCTAAGAGGGCAAAAATATCTGTAAGAAATAGTGAATGTTGGATTAGATATTTATTGTTTAAAGTTAAAAAAAAAAAAACAACACACACACACACACACACACACACACACACAAACAACCTCACAAAGGATTGTCTTATTTAATGTTTTCCAGACCTACTTCCTGATTTGTTAAGCTGGGCATTGAGTGTCTATTTTTAGCCCAGATTTTCAATTAAAAATGTATATACAAATATGGGTGTGTCAAAAGCCATAACTAGTCCTAACTCCCTATGATTTTGTTATGAAAAGTAAATTAGGAACTTTTGTGTAAAGTTTTACTTATTATTATTGCTCCCTTCTAAAATCCACCTTGAATTTCTAATAAAGAAATTTAATATGTATAAAACCAAAAGGCCAAAGAAAATGGGAAAAGAAGCAAAGGTAGAGTAGAAATGTCAATAAAAAATTGGGGAAATGAATGCAGATTTATTATAACCGATTTACCAGAGCAAAGAAATATGTTAAATTATTATGAGTCAATAAGAAACAGGTATTTTGAACAGCAAAATCCCAACAGGCTCAGGATTTGGTACCTCTGAAAGTCTGAGTACAGGAAAAATTGAAAACAATAGAACTGGCTAAACATCTATAGATGATCTAGATAACACCAGATGTTCCCTCACCCTAAAGAAAAAGTTTGTTCTATGAAGAGGATTAACTGAAGACTCTGGGCTATAGGAACAGCTGTTGTTGGGGATGAAATCCTGCATCCCCTAAAGACAGGAGGATTAAGTAAAGTCTACATAACAAAATGTGAGGTCTTCCCATCCCTTTTCCCATACTCTGATCCAGTCTAAACTACACACACATTGGGACAAACATTACAAGAGAAAGAAGAATCCAAAAATAACAATCAATCATGTATAGAAACTTCTAAACAGCTTTGTAGTACCTCACTTTTAAATATGAGAGACAGGCCAAGAATCAGATATCTGAAAAACATGAAAAACAAACTAACAACAAAACACACAAAATAAACAGAAAGAAAAAAAAGAAACTAAACAAAAAGATAACTAATGTGAGGGCACATGAATTCTTTTTTTAAAAATCCTTAGCATCTTAAGAAAAGTAAGTTTATCACATCCACGAATAGAAAACCATCTAGAAAGTTCAGAAAACAAGAAACAGTTCTTGGATTTTTAAAACACAGCAACCTGGCCAGTGTGGCTCAGTTGCTGAGCATCGACCTATGAACCAGAAATCACAGTTTGATTCCCAGTCAGGGCACATGCCCAGGTTGAATGCTCTATCCCCAGTGGGTGGGATGCAGGTCAGTGATTCTCTCTCATCACTGATGTTTCTATCTCCTCCTCTCTCTTCCTCTCTGAAATCAATAAAAATATATATATTTTAAAACACTATAGCAAAACAAAACAAAACAAAACAACAGATCTAAGCACTGAATTGGAGGTGAGTTTCAGGAAATCTTCCCCACTACTCTGAACCTTGTGGTGAGACTTATAGACATGTCCAAGCATAGAATATTGGAGAAAAAAATGAAGAAAAATGAAGGTTTATGCACAAAAGTACTAAGAAAATTAATAAAAGAGAGGAAGTTACCAAAGAAACAAAGAAGCAACTTCCCAAAACTGAGACCTGAATTTCCAGGTAGGATTTACAACAAGCCAAGGCACACTGTGAAATTTTAGAACACTGCAGAAAAAGAAGAGTTTAAAAGCTTCCTGAGGGGAAAAACTCAGGTCACAAAAAACTGGGAGTCAGAAATGGCTTCCAAATACTCAACTTACCAGCTGTGAGATTTAGGAAAAGTGATTATCCTTTCTGAACCAGTTCCCCCATTTGAAAGTTATAGGTAATTAGCAGAACCTAATTTATCAAGTTACTAGGATTTCATACATATAAAGGATTCAACATATAGTACCTCCTGGCCTATTGTTACAGGATACAAAGGTTTTACTACATTGTCAATCCCTATCTCAGTATAAAGATGCCTCCTCTACCTCTTCATATTGCAAAATCCTTCCAATTTGAAGAGTTTACTATTAAATGGGAGCCTGAAATATCCTTGATTCTCTCCCTTTTCTCAATAGTTGGTTTGTCAAAAATATTTGGTTTCCCCCAATACAAGCAGGATCAAAAGATAACCACAGGCAAGGAAGAGAATCTACTTAATCCCATTATTTTCAAGTCGCTACTAGAAGGAAGGAAAGAATAGAGGTGATGGAGGGGGAAGATAGATGACAAGTACAAAAGTTTCTGTGTTTCAGGATAATTTTGTTGTAAAATACAAAAAAAAAAAAAAAAACCATTGAGTGAAAAGCCAGCACTTCTCTATCAGCAATATTAAAATAATGACATCTTAATATGAAAATGAGCATTGTTTTGGATACTAAAACCTGAAAAGGATTATACTACATTAGAGACCCGGTGCACGAAAAGTCATGTACTGGGGGAGGGGGCGTCTCTCAGCCCGGCCTGCACCCTCTCAGTCCTGGCCTGAGATCAGGGCCTATTAGGGCTTTTCTTCCCTGGGCTGCAGGCAGCTGGCCCCACCCCTGCTGCTGCCACTGCTTGCCATCTGTGCAGCGCTGCCCCACTCCCCTACCACTGGTGGACTCCCTCTGTAGGCAACAGGCTGGGGTGCAATGGCTTGGTTGGCCTGGGCCTCCCTGTTTCTTTGCTTGGGGGTGAGGCCAGCCCCACTAGGGGCCGTCTGCCTACCTGATTTCCCCTAACCACTGATCTGCCTACCTGATCACCCCTAACCACTCTGCCTGCCTGCCTAATTGCCCCTATCTGCTTGCTTGGGGGCAAGGGGCTGTCTGCCTACTTGATCACCCCTAAGCACTGGTCTGGCTACCTGCTCACCCTCAACCCCTCCGCCTGTCTGCCTGGTTGGTCAGCCTCCGGTCATTACTGGTCATTACAACCCAGGGTTTTTATATATTAGGATTGATAAAATCAAAAGGAAAGCTGCCTACCTCCTTATTTTGATGATAGTAGGAAAGAACTGGAAATCTTCCCTTGCTCCGGAACTTAGAACTACCAACAATTATTGGTTTGCTTGCTATTCGGGGAACATAAAGTTCTCTTGGATAAGTTTCACAAATCTGTAAAAATCAAAACATAACCATGAGCTTAAAAACCATCTTTATAAAACTTTAAAACTTAGTAATGCAACAACAGCAATATAGAGACATTTTGCTATTACACTTTCTGGTACTAACTGCTATTAACATTTTCTGAATTTTCCCAGAGGGTTTCTAAGTTACCTTGTATTCTCGGTTGGCATCAGACAACTGCCAGTTTGAATTTGGCACACCCATTCTCTTATATTCCTCAGCAAGGTCAATAAGCTCCCAACCACGCAGTCGTTCAGAATCATTTTGTTTGGGGTTATAAGAGAACGCATAGAGATCTTCGTATTTTGCTGGAGTATACAAAATCAAAATGTTAAAATGCAACTTATAGGACTTAATAAATGACAAATAAAAGTAATTTTCAGCTTTAACCCTCCATTTTTCTTTAAATTCTTCAAAAAGATGGCTAATACCAGAACATACTTGAAGTTAAATTTTCTTAGTTCTTTGATGCAAATGATTATATCTAAAGACATAATTATATCAATCTGAGATTCAACTTATATCATCAGTGAAAGCTAGTAAATAATAATAGACTTACACATTACTCTACTGCAATGTTCCCTTTTCTTAAAAGTAAAATTTTAAAGACACACATAAATTCCTACCCACCACTTTTCTCAAATGAGATATAAAGACTAATGCTATAATGAAAAATTAGAGATGCCAGATAGAACATGACATTGTCTATATATCCTATAAAACAGTTTGACCAAACATGACAAAGGTTGCACAGAGATTGAGAGAACACTTACTTCTAAACAATCATAAGCCCCTGAAGTCGTAAGATTTGACTTGGAACAACAGGATAAATGTTACAGGCTTTATGTGTCAGGATAAAAGAGTGAACAAAAATCTGCTCTTAGACCACTGCAAACCAGGTGTCAAAAAAAGTAACATCTAAAAATTAATGTGCTTTGTCTCCCTGGAGATTTCTTTAAAAAAAAAAAATACATTTTATTGATTTTGTACAGAGAAGAAGGGAGAGAGATAGAGAGCTAGAAACATCGATGAAAGAGAGTCATCGATCAGCTGCCTCTTGCACACCCCCCACTGGGGATATGCCCGCAACCAAGGTACATGCCCTTGACCGGAATCGAACCCGGAACTCTTCAGTCCCCAAGCCGACGCTCTATCCATTGAGCCAAACCGGTCTTGGCTCCCTGGAGATTTCTATGTAATTCAAGTTATGCTGGGAAAGAAGCCTCCAGATCCCTAACACATAGTAGTGATAAGATTCCTCTTCAGGGTCTAAATCTTCCTCACTCCTCTCTCTACTAAAGTAGGATTTACCCTCTCTTTTCCTTTTGTTCATCTCCCTATATTCCACTCTAGTCAATTAGATATATTAGTTCATGCTATCAGAAGAGCATGACCTTCCTTAACTTTACCTTTAGTGATCAATTCCCAAGACACTTCCCTTGGCAATGGGATTCTTTAAGAAACAAATACAAAGACTATGCTACTGGCCATCAACAGACTTCTAAAACATTAATATAAATCTATAGTGTTTTAAGTATGCACTACAAATGCTTCATTTTGTCTTTACTATCATCCCTTCTTTGGAAACCATTATTACAACTCAGATCAGAAGTTTCTAATTGCCGAAACCGGCTCAGTGGATAGAGCGTCAGCCTGCAGACTGAAAGGTTCCAGGTTCGATTCCGGTCAAGGGCATGTACCTTGGTTGCGGGCACATCCCCAGTGGGGGCTGTGCAAGAGGCAGCTGATCGATTTTTAGAAACTCTCATCGATGTTTCTAATTCTCTATCCCTCTCTCTTCCTCTCTGTAAAAAAAAAATCAATAAAATATATTTTTAAAAAAAGTTTCTAATTACTTTTAGGTCAAATATTTTAGAATAGAGTGCATAAGAATTCAACTCAAGAGCAACTTAGTAAGCCCAGCAGGTGTAGCTCAGTGGTTGAGCATCAAACGAGGAGGTCATGGTTCAATTCCTGGTCATGACATAAGCCCGAGTTGCAGGCTCAATCCCCAGTAGGGGGCATATAGGAGGTAGCAGATTGATGATGTTTCTCTCTCATTGATATTTCCATTTCTCTATTCCTCATCCCTTCCTCTCAAAAAAAATGAATAACAAGATATTTTTTTAAAAAGAGTAACTTAAACTATAAAATGGCAATAATGAGATACTAAATAAAGTACCTTGGATAAACCATCTCAAAATTGAGCAAATTTTGGTCTCTAAGAACAGTACCTTGTTTTGACAGTTGTAGCAAAGAGTTGTAAATATCATGGCAATCTCTTTCTCGGGGAACAATGAAATGCACAATCCTGAAGTTCTTGCACTGAATGACAAGTGGGCATCCAGAAGTCGTCAAAGCCAGTTTCTCCACTGAGCCAATATGATGATGCAAAATCTACAGCATTAAAAAATAATTTGATCATCATTATAAAAAGCACTAAGTATCTTATTCTCTTCCACAGTGCAAAAATGTTAGAAATGTCCTGTCCAAAAAAGTCTCAAATGTTATACACTACAAAGTCACACTTAAAAAAGTTTTAAGTGACAATGCCCAAGCCAGAAATGTGCCCTGATCACTCCACATATTCACACATCATTAAATCCCAAGAACTGCATTCCCTAAATATCTCTATAACCTGTCTACTTCTCTCTATCTTTACTATAACTCCCCTAATTGCAATGTTTCCATTATTTCTCACCTAATTACTATAACTATTATCCTAAATGCTCTCTTCATATCCTACTCTTGAATCCCCCAATCCGTTTTTTACAAAGCAGACAATTAACCATTAAAAACTCAATTTTAAAAAAATGGCAAAGCTATCTAGTTATTTCTCACTTCTCCCACCCTGCTTAGTTTCTGAGATCAGACAAGAGTGGGCACATTCAGGGTTGTATGACTATAGACTTTACCACTGCTCTAGCCTCATTTCAAGTCCCTTCCCCAACATCGTTAAGTTCTAATGACAACAGCCCTCTTTGGCTCCTCAAATGAACCAAGGTCCTCTATATACACTCTTAAGTTGCTCCTATAACTGCGAGATTGTAGCTCTCTACCTCTTTACCTACGAACTTCTAGTGTTATTTCTGGTGTCCGCTTAAAACTCATCACCAAGCCCTAGCCAGTTTGACTCAAGAGTTACAGCATGGGCCATGGACTGAAGAGTCTGAGGTTCAATTCTGGTAAAAAACAAAACAAAACAAAACAAAACTTCACCATCGAGAAGTACGTATAGTCTCATAATCACCATGGCCCTTCCCTAGTAAGTTGGGTTCCCTCCATTTTCTTATCAAATATCAACCTAAATTCTTCCTTTCATAGCACTTAGTACATTTGTAATTTGTTATGTAGTAGTGTTTATTTCTCTACTTAAGATTTTAGAAACTTCACCTAAGAAGTAAAACTATAAGTTAAGCACCATTGTATTTCTAGCACCTAACACAGTACTTGGAACATTATAATGACCATCTTCAAACAAAAACAAAAAAAGCATTTCAAGTAATATATATTACACATTCATATTTAAATTTGACTGAACTGGAAATATAGGTGTCATTGTTGGTAACTTCTCCATCACAAATACTGAATGAATGAATGAATGAATGAATGGAACGTCCTACTAGAAAGTCAGAACTTGGTGGTATTTGAAACATAATTATTATATCTACTTATAACCTAACATATTCTGTGCTACTAAAAAAGATTTCCCTTTGCTCAATATCATTTCTACTAATTTAAAATATATGTAGAAAACTTTATGGAAAATAAAAGATCTTAAAATTGAAACAGGTTTTTGGATGATAAAACTCAATCCTGGCAAGATATCAAATCATCCCAAATTAGTCTAAAAATTTAACAGAAATTCCAACCTGCAAAAACAAAACAAAACAAAAAATTCCAACCTGCTTTTTTGGGTAGTATGTATGTGGGAGGAAAGGTAGGGTGAGATATGGATGATTATTTATATTATATATATGTATTATATAATTAGTGCATGAAGGGGGGGGAGGTGTCCCTCTTCTCAGCTTGTACCCTCTCCAATCTGGGATCCTTCTCACAATCCAGGACTGCTGGCTCCTAACCACTCGCCTGCCTGCCTACCTGATTGACCCTAACTGATTCTGCCTGCCAGCCTGATCGCCCCTAACTGCTCCCCTGTCAACCTGATTGACACCTAACTGCTCCCCTGCCGGCCTGATCACCCCAACTGCCCTCCCCTGCCAGTCTGTTTGCCCCTAACTGCCCTCCCCTGCTGGCCTGATAGAACCCAACTGCCCTCTCCTGCCTACCTGATCACCCACAACTGTCCTCCCCTGCTGGCCATCTTGTGACAATGTGGGGGCAGCCATCTTGTGATGACATGAGGGCGTCGCACAAGGGTGCAAGAGCCACCTGGCTTTTATTAATATAGATAATTTTATGCTACTATTATTCATTTTTAAAACTTTAGATATTAAGTCTAAAGGTCACATGCAAGATTAAATACATAAAATAAAATTTAAAAAAGCTTGAAGAAGAAGAAAAAAGAAAAGCTTCAAAGAGAACCAAGATTGTAGCATAGATAAACACAGTACTTACTGCCTCCCACAACCACATCAAAATTACAACTAAAATACAAAACAACCATAATTCAGAACTGCCTGAAATAATCCTGAATGGAAGTTCTACAACTAAGAAGTAAAGAAGAAAGCATATAAATACTGATAGGAGGGTGGAGGCACAGAACAAGTGGACCCATGTTTGGCATTTTGTTTTTTGATTTTTAATTGGGATGGATATCTCAGTTGTGGGGGCCTGCTGTGAGGTGTAAAGAATTATAGCTCCATATCAGACATTTCAGCCCAGGCTTCCAGTGACAGGATGAGAAGTCCTCATAACTTTGGGCTATAAAACCAGCAGGGATTGTGGCTGAGTGGCAAGGAGGCTGCAGGAGTCCCAGGTCTAGCTGGCATATGGGCTTACTCAGACTCATTTCCTCTGAGCTCTAACACTGGGGTGACAGTTTGGAGAGATCCAGGGACATATGCAGAGGAACTGGAGTAAGTTCTCAGGGGTAGCTTTCTCCCAGACAGAGTTGCTCAAAGAATTAATTATGCCTATGCTGAGACCTCCTTCACTGCAGAGCTGACTGGCAGCCATACCAGAGTCTGCATCAACCTGACTCACACTGTTCGATAGCCCTGGTAATTCCCTGAGACGCTGGCCCATCCAATTCACAGTCCCACCCAAGCTGTTTGCAGCGGCTTTTCCATATGAATGGCCTGTCCTGGCTCAGGCTTCAGACTTTCCTAAAATTTCTCAAAGCAGCAGCAGCTGGTGTTAGCATGCCCCATACCAATCAGTAAGAGGCCCAAGACCTGGCACCAGCAGCTTGGTCTCATCTGAACACTTCCAAGCGCAACGTGAGTAGCAGCATCTGAAGATCTCTCTGTAGCTCCTGTCAGGTGGCCTCAGGCAGTGGCTGACTTTGCGTCTCCCAGGAGACCCCAGAGCCAGTTATACATGGTGAACAGCTTCAGACTATACCAGGTTTCAACTACTCATCCATGAGCGACACACTCAAGGGACAGACTCAGTGAGCACCAGAGCCCCACTGAAGCAAGTCCTGCTCCATAGAGGTGTCTCCTGCACAGCAGCTCTCCCACCGCAGTTGCAGCTGGTCCTCACAGCCAACTGGCCTGGAGGTCACTTCCTCCCAGTGACATCAATAGCAATTAAGGCTCAACTACAACAAGACTGTGCACACAGGGGCACACTGAGAGTGCACTACTTAGGTGACTGGGAAGACTGAGCCACTGGGCCCTCCAGGACACCTACCACACAAGGCCACTCTACCAATTCCAGAAGCCATAGCAGCTCTACCTAATACAGAGAAACAAGTGCAGGGAAGCAGTCAAAATGCTGAGACAAAGAAACATATCACAAATGAAAGAACAACAACAAAAATCTCCAGAAAAAGAACTATATGAAATGGAAGCAAACAAACGACTAGATACAGAGTTCAAAGCAATGGTTAAAAGGATGCTTAAGATCTTAATAAGAGCTTCAAGGAACTTAGTGAGAATTTCAAGGCTTTTAGTGAGTGAGATTCTCAAAGACCTGAAAAAAGACCAGTCAGAAAGTAAGCACACATTAACTGAAATAAAGAATAATTTACAGGAATTTAACAGCAGAGTAGAGGATGCTGAGCATCAAAATCAGTAATTTGGAATATGAGTAAGCAAAAAAAACACCCAATCAGAAGTGCAAAAAGAAAATGAATCTAAAAAATATGAAGAAAGTATACGGAGTCTCTGGGAAAACTTCAAGCATACCAACATTCACATTATGGGAGTGCCAGAATGAAAAAAGACAGAGTGAGATTTTGAAAACCTACTTGAAGAAATAATGACAGAAAATTTTCCCTATCTGGATAAAAAAAAAAAAAAATAGACTTATAAGTCCAGGAAGTGCAGGGAGTCCCAAACAAGAGAAATCCAAAGAGGCCCAGACCAAAATTAAAATGACATAGGTTAAAGACAAAGAGAATCTTAAAATTAGCAAGAGAAAAACAGCTAGTTACCTACAAGGAGTGCCCATAAGACTGTCAGCTGACTTCTCAACAGAAACTTTGCAGGCCAGAAGGGAAAGACAAGAAATATTCAAAGAAATGAACAACAAGGACCTACAACTAAGATTATTCTACCCAGCAAAGCTATCATTTAGAACCAAAGGTCAGATAAAGAGCTTCAGAGACAAGAAAAAGCTAAAGGAGTTCACCACCACCAAACCACTTGAAATGTTGAAGAGTATTCTTTAAGAAGAAGAAGAATAAAAAAGATAAATAAATAGCCCTAACTGGTTTGGCTCAGTGGATAGAGCATCAGCCTGCGGACCGAAGGGTCCCAAGTTCGATTCCGATCAAGGGCATGTACATTGATTGCGGGCACATTCCCAGTAGGGGGCATGCAGGAGGCAGATCAATGTTTCTCTCTCATTGATGTTTCTAGCTCTCAACCCCTGACCCTTCTTTCTCTTCATAAAAAAACAAACAAACAAACAAAAAATCAACCGGGACCAGTTTGGCTCAGTGGATAGAGCGTCGGCCTGCGGACTGAAAGGTCCCGGGTTCGATTCCGGGCAAGGGCATGTACCTTCGTTGCGGGCACATCCCCAGTAGGGGGTGTGCAGGAGGCAGCTGATCGATGATTCTCTCTCATTGATGTTTCTAACTCTCTATCTCTCTCTTCCTCTCTGTGAAAAATCAATAAAATATATATTTTTTTTAAAAATCAGTAAAATATATTTTGGAAAATAAATAAATAAATGAAAATTAAAAATAAAACAGCAATAAATATATATCTATCAATAATTGAATCTAAAGATCAAAATAAACCAGTAATGTAATGAACAAAAACTGATGAATAAAATAGAATCAAATGCATGGAAACACGGAACAGACTGATGAATCTCAGAGGAAAGGAAGGAGAGGGGGCAGGAAGAGATTAACTGAAGAACTTATATGCCTATATGCATTACCTACGGACACAGACAAAAGAGTGGTAATGGCCTGGGATGGAGTGGGAACTGGGTGAAAGGTGGCAGTGCAGGGGAAAAAAGGGAGACAGATATAATACTCTCAACAATAACAACTTTTTTTTAAAAAGGAGAATAAATAAATGAGGGGGAAAAAACTTGAAAAAGAAGACTAATGCGAGCAAAAGTCCTATGGTAATTAAAAATTTATATAACAGATAATACATATAACAAATATGTAGCTCAAACTTGTTGCTGAGATTTAGCCCTATTAACATCTATATTATCATTTGGTCATAACGATCACTTAGGCTTTTATATTTACACTAATAAAAAAGTAACATGCTGCCGGGACCAGTTTGGCTCAATGGATAGAGTGTCGGCTTGGGGACTGAAAGGTCCCGAGTTCAATTCCGGTCAAGGGCATGTACCTTGGTTGCGGGCATATCCCCAGTAGGGGGTGTGCAAGAGGCAGCTGATTGATGACTCTCTCTCATCGATGTTTCTAATTCTCTATCTCTCTCCCTTTCTCTCTGTATAAAATCAATAAAATATATTTTTTTAAAAAAAGTATGCTGACCACCAGCCAATCAGGAATGAGTATGTAAATTAACCCAACAAAAGTTAATTTGCATACACAGATGTTGAGTGGCTGGGGGAAGGGCGGGACACTTGCCTTGTCGCTATGGTGATGACATCGGCTTTCCACACCACCCCAGCTACTCTGGGCCTCTTGGCAGTGTGGGAAGGCAGAAAAGCAGCTCCAGGCTGAAGCAAAAAGTCGGCTCCGGCCAGAGCGAAGGTGGTGCCAGCAGACAGGGGAAGGAAGGCCCATTCTTGCATGAATCATCATGAATCGGGCCTCTAGTATATGTATATAAGATTCCAATTAAGACTCAAAATTATGTGCAGCAAAAGAATGATGATGAGCCCTGGCTCTGCCACTAACTAGTTATGTGATCTTGAAAAACTAATCGTCTGTAAAATGAAAATAAAATAATAATTTATAGTAAGGCTCCTTCTAGATCTGTTCATTTCTATGGATCTAGTATACAAAATAGACTTCATTCAGGAGAGATTATGGAAATATACTGATAAGAAAGCATTTCAAAGACAACAACAGGAGCAAAAGGTGTTATGTGGCTATCTTTTAGCTGCCCCAAAACTACATTCCCAACATTTGAAAGAAACTATGAGAAACTTCTATTTGTACTCTAGGAGATGAATAATATACAAAAAATATATTAAGGTAAGCAGATAAATGAAGGGTAGACAGAATGGATGAGAATATGACTAATGACTTTATAAGGCCTTGCTAGAGGAAACTCCTGGGCAAACACTGGATAGGCAAGAAATCCAGAGCCTCTAGGGAATACAACTTCTCCAAGATCAACATCTCAGGTAAGTATCTTAACTTACTTATTGTAATCACTTATCAATTGAATAGCCTTCCTAGGGAAATCAAAAGAGTATAACCAAGGAGAGATATCAAGATATATTAAAAGCTACTGTCAAAAGTATGCTCTGGTACAGTGTAATCAATATACCAAAAGAACAGAATAGACAGCTCAAAAGCAGGTCCTCTCTTTATTTATGACAGAGTTGATACTACACATTAATGGAATAAAACAATCAATAAATGATGCCAGTTATGTGTAAATAAAATAAAAACGAATCCCTATGTCATATCATCCACCAAAATATTTTTCAGATATATTAAAAAAATTATACTGAGAATACACAACATAAGCTTTTAGAAAATATAGGAGAATCTATAGAACCTTAACATAGGGAAGGATTGTCACAAAACAGCATAAACCATAAAATAAAAAATGAAAATTTATTACACTAAAATTTTAAAGTTTAAAAGACATATACTAAAAGACATATAAAAGACAAATACACGCAAGACAAGCCATACACTGGGAGAAGTTATCCACAACATATATATGACAAAACATTAAAAACTGGAACTTTTGCAAAATAAATAACAAACAATCCAACAGAAAAAAATAAAAGGAAATCTAAAGACAAAATATCAGAAAGAGTAACTTCCTTGTAATCAACAAATTAAAATCACAATTGCACATCCACCAGATAGGCAAAATTTTAAATTTGACAATATCAATTTTGCTGAGGATAGTGAACAATGTATCACACTCTACCGAGAATATGATGAAACAACCATTTTGGAAAGGGGACCTACTCAGGAAGGTTGAATATCCACTTATCTAAGTAATTTTACACTCAGGCAATTTTCCAGAAAAACCCTGGCACAGTGTATACATTACCTCATTGTTTGTACTAGCAATAAATAAATAAATAAATACCATAATTGCAATTTGTTATAAATATACTGTGGAACATGACATTTGATCTATTAACATGTATATTTTTTTAATTAAAGGGAATAGGTAGATCTTTTATATATTTATGTAGATAATAAGAGTGTGATATTCTACAAAAAAATTCCACATTCCATATTATATCAGTTTTATTAAGAGAGAGGGTAGAAGTGATTAGGTGACTGAAAATATTTTGGTTGAGATTGATAACCAATGATTAGAATTTTTTATGCACATTCAAAATAAAGCACAGTAATAGACTAATACCATTATTACAATTATAGTAATTGAGGTCCTGCTTACCCAGGTTTCTTTCTGCTGAGAATCTATAAATAATAGATGTGTGGCCGTAAGATATAGTGTTCCTGTTAATGACTTGTTGTTGGTACTGAATCTGTCAAGTAATTTCACTTGCTCAACCTAAAAAAGAAAAAAAAAAAAATGTTACTTCTCATTTCAAAAGTAGTATAAATTCTTTTTCTGTTACCCCAGGATTTAAATGTCCCATTTTTGAATTATTTTTTTCCTTCTGTTAAAAAACATGTTTACTTAATATTGAATATTAAATTTCATATACCCCTAGAAATATATAAGCCACAAATAACATAGGTACTATTTACATTTATAAATATAATTGAGAGAAGAACCTTATGAAAAAATATTAACACAGATATTAAAGAAAACAGAAAGGAGGGGTGTCTTATAAGTAAGCAAAAATGTGTTTTTTTTTTGTAGCCAAGAGTCAATATATTTCACTTAAAGTTAGCAGGTAAAGTAATAAATATAATAATGTTATTTTGTAGAATTATGGAAGTAAATTACACCAGAAAAAATAAATCAGGAAACAATTAAATGGTTGCAAACTCCAACTTATTCTCCTCACCACTTCCACTGGGGACATTGTTTTGTGTTCAACTCAGTGCTTTTACTCATACTGTTCTCCCTTCCTACAATAGTCTCTTCTGCTTAACTACTAGTAAGTACAAACAAAGCATTCTTCAAAGCTCACTGATGCTCTGTCTCCCAACAGAAATCCTTCTCAGAATATTAATTACTTAATATCTTAGCTTTATATTTCTTTTGTGGCTCTGAATTCCCTACCATAGATTATGTCACATTCTGCCTCTGTATCCTTCGGTAGCTGAGGCAAGGCAGTACACAGTACATCTTTATTAATAGTAGACACAAATGCACAAGGTTGTCACTGAAGAGTGGAATTAGAGTTGGCCAGGGATGTGCAGGAGAATACTGTTTTGAAAAAAACGTAGGTATTTCTTTCTATCTATTCCTATGTAGGTAACAAAGTAAAATAACCTTTACCAAGTTAAAAATTTTAATCCACAGCTTTCGCAGTAGGTTGTAGATAGTTTCTTAAATTGTTCAAGGCTTCAAAACCAGATAGCTAACCATTATCGCATTAATTCTATACTTTTTCCATACACACACACACACACACACACACACACGTGTGTGTGTGTGTGTGTGTGTGTGTGTATGTGTGTGTGTATATATATATATATATTTGTATAGTATTGTGAGTACATGAAACAGAATTTATTCATTTATTATTACTAGAGGCCCGGAGTACGGGCCTGCACCCTCTCCAATCCGGGACACTTCGAGGGATGTTAAACTGTCCATTTAGACCTGATCCCACCGGGATCCCTCTCACAGTCCAGAACTGCTGGCTCCCAACTGCTCATCTGCCTGCCTTCCTGATTGCCCATAACTGCTTCTGCCTGCCAGCCTGATCACCCCCTAACCACTCCCATGCCAGCCTGATTGATGTCTAACTGCTCCCCTGCCAGCCTATTTGCCCCCAACTTCCCTCCTGCCAGCAGGGTCACCCCTAACTGCCTTCTCATGCAGGGTTAATTGCTTCCAACTGCCCTCCCTTGCAGGCCTGGTCCCTCTCAACTGCCCTCCCCTGCTGGCATCTTGTGGTGGCCATCTGTGTCCACAAAGGGGCAGGATCTTTGACCACATGGGGACAGCCATATTGTGTTAGAGTGATGGTCAATCTGCATATTCCTTTTTTATTAAATAGGATAGAGGCCTGGTGCATGGGTAGGGGCCAGCTGGTTTGCCCTGAAGGGTGTCCTGGATCAGGGTGGGGGTTCCCTTGGGGCATGGGGCAGCCTGAGTGAGGGGCCTGGGATGTTTTGCAGGCCAGCCACACCCCCTGGTGACCCAAGAGGAGGCCCAGGTATCTGGAATTTATTTACCTTTTACAATTGAAACTTTGTAGCCTGGAGCGGAGCCAAGCCTCCTGCTCGCTCCATGGCCGGCAGCCATTTTTGTTGGATTCATGTATCTTTTATAATTAAAACTTTGGAATGAAAGCCTGGGCCCACCAGGTTGTGCAGAAAACTTTGCTTTTTCTATTGCCAGGGGCAACCCTAGCCTCCTGCTCTTTCCAGCTCCGAGGCTGCCGACATTTCTGTTTGGATTTGTTTATCTTCTATAATTGAAACTTTGTAGCCTTGAGCGGAGGCCTAGGCCAGCAAGGGCAGGCAGAAAGCTTGGCTTCCTCTATTGCCTAGGAAACCCAAGCCTCCCTCCTGCTCTCTGTGGCTGTAGCCATCTTGGTTGGGTTTATTTGCATACTCGCTCTAGATGGTGTGTGTGACTTGTGGGTATAGCAGAGTGATGGTTAATTTGCATGTTGCTCTTTTATTACATAGGATTTATTAATTATTGTGCCACTTCCATACAAACAATTGTAAAATTACTTTTGACCAACCCTGTATTTTGATTCCCCTTACTAAAATTGAAGGAAAAAAAGACTCCTCATTTTGAAATTATGATTTCTGAAATAATCAATAACTACCATTTAAAAGGCCATTAGTTCTCCCACAAGAAATTTAATTTCAGAGATTTTTAAAATATATATATTTTATTGATTTTTTACAGAGAGGAAGGGAGAGGGATAGAGAGTTAGAAACATCAATGAGAGAGAAACATTGATCAGCTGCCTCCTGCACACCCCCCAATGGGGATGTGCCCACAAACTAAGTTACATGCCCCTGACTGGAATCAAATCCGGGACCCTTGAGTCCACAGGCTGATGCTGTATCCACTGAGCCAAACCAGTTTCGGCCAGAGAAAGATTTTTACTTAAAAAAGCACCTGTTCAAATAAATTAAAATTAAAATACTTATTTTTGTAGAAAAAAAGAGTCCATCCTGACCTTAACACCTTGTGGATTATTCAGTATCTTAGTAAATGCAAAATGATATTCAAATCAAGAAAACATATAAAAAACCATTATATGACTACTTCAATATGGAAATCTCTATATAGATGTGACATAATAAAATTAATCTGAAATTATCCCAAAACATTTAGTTAATATTTAAACTAAAGTTCTAGAGGGGAAAAAAAAAAAGATAATTTCTGAGAAAATATATTATTTGGTTCTTTCCTGCAAATCCTAAAATACTTTTTTTAATAAAAAAAATAAAATCTTTTTCTTTGCTAAGATCATCAGCATACAAATTTCAAACTAAAGACTTAGCCAATTTGTGAATATATACCTGCTGCTTCGTGATACCTCTTCCACCCATGTCAAGGTGGCTCACTCCCTCACCACTTTCAGGTCTGTACTCAAGCATCACAATCTCTGTAAGGATGTCTCTAACTACTATATTTACAACTGTCCTCCTCTACCCTATCCGGCAGTCTCCACAGCATTTACCACCATTTACCATATTACATGTATATTTGATTTATTAATTTTGTTTATTGTTCTATCTTCCTCAACTAGAAAATAAGGGCAGGGATTTTTGTCTGATTTATTCACCACTATTTATTCACCCCAGTACCTAGAACAGTGCCTGCCCCAGGGAAGAGGAAGGAGCCAGAGGAGGGAGCAGAAGAGAAGGGGGCAAGTAAGTGGAGAGCAGAGGAAGAAGCAAAGAAGGAAATTAGATAGGAAAGACTGTTCCCTCTTCTCTTCCCATCAGTGATTCACCACTTCCCATTGTATCCCAAATACTCTGCCTGGCCCTTCTTTCAGTGATTACCCCATTTAAAGTATTCCCAGGGCTCTAGCCTTAACACTCATCACAATAGGAAATTTCACTGATTACATAACACTGACGCCTTCCAAATCTATTTATCTGGACCAGACCTTTTCCCTAACTCTAGACAGTCATAATCAGCTACCTATTAAAAAAAAAAAAAAAATCCTACCACCCAAGTTGCTCTCATCTATCCTCTCCTTTCCCATTCTGACTCACACAGATCTACCTCACTATTCAAATCTCTTGACTACAGTAGATAATTACTCTCTGAGGCAGGAGAGTGTAATGCTTACAAAAACATGATTGGTATCATAAAGACCAGGACTTAAGTCCCCAGCTCCACCTTTTCTTTAATAGAGCTAGCTGTTGAATCAAGAGTAGTTATTTCACTTAATCTCTAATTTATTTTCTCACCTGTACATTGGGTATATTAGTAAAATTCAAAATGACACTATTTTATTTTAAAACACAATTATTATTTTGTGGGGAAAACATTCAGATGTTCCTCAAAATCTATTGGCTCATATTTCAAAGACAAAACATATAATGTTCTCCTTATTCTTCATACATTCTTAGTTTTACATTTCCTTCACTTTGTAACAAGTAATATATATTTGTGTACATACATGTATGATCTCATATTCTAATGACAAAAAGGGATAGCCATCTAAGACAAATCAGGCATAACTTTGGAATAACTTAATTTGACCCCTAATGGGGTCAGATTTTCATGGGGCATTCCATTCTTTAACAATCTCTAGGAAGTAATCTTACATACAGAAGTTAGGAAAGCATTCTTCCTTTTCATTCTGTAAAGTTCCATTCACAAACAGCACAAATTTCAACATCAACACATGATGCTAGCCAAAGGACTGGAGCCTAGCAGGAAAAGAGGATTGCTTAAAGAATTGTCTCTGCATATTTGTCATTGTTTCTTGGCAAAACTATCTCATTATAGCAAAATTAGCACTCAAAGTGACAGGCAGTAGCTACAATGTTCATAAGTATAGACTGGAAATGCTCTTTTAGAATTTCAAATTGGGACTTGACATCTTTACTGATGCCATTCAGTTAAACCAAATGTGACCAAAACAGAATGATATATTTCTGAATTTCAGAACTAGAAAGCCATTTAATTAATAGTCACCTAAAACACTTTATGTGACAAAAAAGAAACAAAATGATGACCATAAGCATTACAACAAACTACAAAAAAAAATATTATTTACTTACTAGAGGGCCGGTGCATGAATTTGTGAACGGGTGGGGTCCCTGGGCCTGGCTGGTGATCAGGGCCAATGGGGGGGCCAACTGGCAGGGAGGATGGACGGTGGGATATCAGCCAGCCGGCCAGGGGTAGGGGCCATGGGAGGTTGGCTGTGGGAGCACACTGAC